GACATAAATTGATTAGATTAAGTTAAATTGTCTTTTAATGCTGTTGTATAGCACTACAATATTAATATGAAGTTCTCAAACTAAAAAACAACTTAAATGATGCATTAATTGAAGTTTGGAGACGTTTTAAAATGCGTCTTTTCAGAACTGCATCTGTCACTTGCGACCGCAGGGAGGGGGGTAGCGGTGCGCAACCACCCTTCTTCTGAATAAATGTAAACACAGTAACATAGTTGTTTACACTTAAATTAAAAATATTTGACCATAGAAAAACTGGAGCTAGACTAGAGAGAGATGAATATGATTTAGATTTTTATTTCTGTGACTGTAACGACCCACAGGAGACACGACATTAACAACACATTTCATTCCTTTAAGCAGCTCCTTTAATTCCACAGCTGAGCTGCTAAAGAGAACAGATTTTCTTTTCTCGATCTCTGACAGCAGGACTACAATCTCCGAACTCGTAAAGTTCTTCTTTTTTACTTTGCGATGTCATTTATGAATGGACACTTCCTGGTATGTGAGGCAGGAAACATAGCCTTATATGGTGTTTTTGGGGTGGTAATTATGCAAATAACCTCTCCTCGTGCACGAGCATCTGGATACATTCAGGTGGAATTTGCGCAGCTCATTTACACACTTTTCCTGAAGATAGAAGAGTTTGTTGAATCTGACGTGACATGTTCATACGAACCYTTTGTACGAACAAAAGTAAGAGAAATTTAGGATAAGAATACGAACATGTTCTTGCATGAGGCCCATTGAGTTTCATAAAAAAAGAGCACAAATCCAGTTAGAAAACTTATGACGAGGACAGGCTGAGCTTCTTTTGTCGCTGCAATCCTGCTTGTCATCACTTGTGGTGATGTCGCGTTCTAACACACAAGACTTTCGTCGTTTGTTCTATAATGAAGTCATTGTGACACTGAAAGCTGGGTCCTCCTCTCTGCCTTCACTCTTCCTCACAGATAATCTCCAGGAAGAATCCAGAAGATGTCCAGGAGGTAAGACACGCAGCCGTAGTTTGTTAAATGGATCTTTCTGCTTGTGCAGCACTTTTCCTGAGAAAAATACAACTTTCTTCACTTCATGAGGATTTCAGCCTGACATATTTAATTGTATCTATTTAAAAAAATGTCCAAAAAACCGAATAAGACATTGTTAAAAGTTATAGTACAATTTTATGTGGCTTTATATTTTGCTTTACCAATYGAAGTTGGATTCTTACAAAGTGAAGCTTCATTGTTTGTGGCCAAATGTGTAAATTTTACAATAAAGCTGAAAGCTATGCCCACAAACATCAGAATTTTATTACTAATATTACATATCTGTATTTATGCAGGTAAAGTCTCTCATGTCTTTGACGAGCAGTTTAAAAATATTGCTTTGCAGCTCTGTTTTTGTAAGAACAGCTGTTTCTCCCAAAACTTTTATTAGATTTAATAACCCGTTTTCATCGTTCCGTATCTAATTTTAAGCATTAATTCCTATGCAGGCTTGTAAAACTCACAGGGAGAGTCTGTGTTTCCTAAAATCCGAGCTAACTCAACCAGCGTGATGTCAATTGCGTTACAATTAAGACTCTCGGCAAGGGAATGTGGCCTGCGAGCGCACATACTTTTACATTTTAGGAAAGCCGAGTTCTGCCTCAACATTAGATCATCACGTTTCTGTAAGTCGCTTATTCATTCCTGTTTGTGTCAAAAGAGTTTCAGTTGCACAAATTAGCAATAAGAAAAGGATTAAGGAACTTAATTTGATTTTGGGGTATTTTAAGGAGGTTGAAAAGCATTATTTACATTTGTTGTCTTCAGGAAAGTATAATGTGTGTGAATGATTCAGATGTAAAAGTGTCATAAACAAGCTGATTTCTGTGTTGGAGAACCAAAACAAATGCTTCATATGTTGGTAAACACTACGTTATTGATTTCTCTGTTCAGTCAGTTTCCTCTCTGTCTCCACCCACGCTCTCGCCTCCGTTCTCCGTAGATAACAGTATGGAAGAGATACAGTGATTTCCGGAAGCTTCATCAACATCTCTGGCAGCTTCACAAGAATGTAAGCAGCCAGTCTGAGCTGTTTCCTCCCTTTCCGAAGGGCATCGTTTTTGGTAAGAACCTTTCTGTTTTGCACTTTCTGTATCTTAGAAATTGACCCTGAGATATTTATGGTGTTCAAGGTTTGGCTCTGATCAGATAGTTTGTTAAGGCTGAGAAAAGTGTGTTAAAAATGTAAATTTTCTTAAACTGCATGTCTTTCAAATGCAAATTGTCTAAGAAAACATCTTTATATTTAAGAAACCTAATAATACATATAATTTTACCCTTTTTATCACATAAGTGGCATATTTTCACTTTGTCTCAAAGTGAAACAGGAAGTGACATCAAAGGGGAACTCTTTAAAAATAGAAACTCCCTGTTTATTCATTTTTTGTTTATTGAAACAATGGGTCTCATGCAAGAACCGTTCGTACGCACAGATTTGTTCTTAAGTTGTGCGTACGAGTGATTTAGGAGAATTTGTGGCATTCACCAATATTTTCGTATTCTAMGATTTTATTCAGATACGAACAAAATTCACGAGTGGTCCAGACCTGTCGTATATTTTACGAGCAGACAGTCTGCTGTTATCCAGACTGATTTTCTTCACTAATAACTTTATATTTCATTAGTTTGAAGATATTTTGAGTTTAAAATAAATCACAATCCATAATTATGTTGACAATAGGCTATTCTGCTTGAATTAGAGTTATAATTTTAAATGAAATAATTTAAACTAACAATATAAATTGTCCGTCCAGCCGGCTTATCCAGGATCGGGTGCGTGGGGTAGCTGCAGAAAGACCCCGCTCTCCCCAGTGACACTTTCCAGCTCGTCCTGGGGGACTCCGAGACGTTCCCAGACCAGAGGGGATACATAATCCCTCCAGCGAGTCCTGGATTTTCTCCAAAGTGCCAGACTTATTTTGAAAACATTTTAAAATGCTTATTTCAAACCCGCAACTGAGACCACCTGTGACCGCGCAGCGCGGGGGGGATTGGGGTTCGGTGCGCAACGGTGTGTCTTCTGAATAAATGAAAATGATTTAACACAGTTGTTTATACTTTTAGCAGCTCTTTTTATCCCACAGCTGACCTGCTAAAAATGACAGATTTTCTTTTCTGGATCTCTGACAGACGGACTTCAATCTCTGAACTCGTAAAGTTTTTCTTTTTAATTTTCGCTGCCATTTTTCATGAATGGACACTTCCTTGTATCTGAGGCAGGAAACATAGCCTTATATGGTGTTTTTGGGGTGGTAATTATGCTAATCTCCTCTCCTCGTGCACGAGCAGCTGGATACGAACAGGTGGAATTTACGCAGCTCATTTACACACTTTTCCTGAAGATAGAAGAGTTTGTTGAATCTGACRTGGCATGTTCGTACGAACCCTTTGTACGAACAAAAGTAAGAGAAATTTAGGATAAGAATACGAACATGTTCTTGCATGAGGCCCATTATCTTCTTCATCTCTCTGACAGTGACTCAAAATATAAAAAAAACATCAGATTCTTCTCTGCAGTCACTTCTCTRTTCACATGCAGACATTCCCCTTTGATGTCACTTCCTGTTACTTCACATGCGAATATCTCAACAACCGTTCATCTTAGTGGCGTACATTAATGATATCGTTGCAAAATTGCCTTCATGTTTGTAACAAAAAATTAATGTCACAGGTACTTTAAAGAACTTCTTTGACAATTTATGGAAACCAGCTTTAATACTGTCTAAATAATATAATAAATGATGGACTTTTCCAACCTCCAATGTAAGTTTTATTGAGTAACCTTTGCCATTTTTCAATTGTGTAATTTTTATTCATTTTATTTGAATATTCAACCTCGCTAATACATTTATTCTATACTGTATGTTACTAAATTAAATGCTAAATAATTAAATTTTCATAAAAAATAATGAGCAACATTAAGCAATAAACGTAATGTGTTTTCTGTAGATTGTTTAGTCAGCATGTATAATTTCAGCGCTGGATAAAAGCGTCATTTTAAATGTTTGGATGTTTGATCCTCGAGGCAGTTTTTCAAATTTTTTACAAATTGTGACCTGTCCTTTCTGAACTACAAGAAAAAAATTGATCTGACTTTTTAAACCGTTACTTCTACTGCTCTGCTGCCTTAAGACAGATCTGCACTTTTTTATTTGCTCAGTATTAATATTACATCTGTTTATGTGTTTGTATGCATTCACTATAGGCCGGTTTGATAAGTCAGTGATTGAAGAAAGGAGACAGTGCTCTGAGGATCTCCTTCAGTTCTCTGCAAATATTCCTGCTCTGTATAATAGTCAACACATTCAAGATTTCTTCAAGGTATCCAGTCATCTGTGCAGGAAGCCAGGCTTTATGCCAAAAAAATTACYGATAGCATTATAAATCTCTATTTATATGTTTTTGTTTTTTTAAGGGAGGTGAGATACACGACGGCTCGGAGCTCATTGGACCAGCTGAGCCCTTTTCTGACTTCCTGGCTGACAGTTTGTCCGATTGTAGCTCTGATGGTAGGGTTTCATACAAAACTTGTCTGTGTCTTGAATTAACTGTTTAAATCTTTAAGAAGTAAGATTCTATGGAAAAAAATGCCCACAATAAATATTTCAGCTTTCCCAGATAGCTCTTTGAGTAACCTCAGTTTGAAGAAATAACGTTTAAATCTGACTGAATGGATGAGCTAAGAGCTAAAAAAAAATAATCACCAGATTCCAGCTGAGTTAAAATGTTTCCAGTTTACATTGAATTCTGTGGTTCTTTACAAACACAGATGGCATTACAGTGACTAGCAGTAGAACCTGCAGCAGGAATTTCTGCCAGAATAAGTGTAATTCAAACCTGGTGATGGCGGAAAGATTTATAGTAATAACAGTGTTTAGATTATCAGCTGTGAATTGTTTAAGTTGGAGTTATTTTAAAGGAGACCAATTATGGGTCCTAGAAATGTTTATGGTATGTCTGTGGGCTATCCAGACCATGTTCATTCAATTAAATGCACAAAATAATTCTCAGATAATAAAATTTCCCATTTTCTAGTTCTGCCTGCTCTGACTTCCGTTCAGAAGAGCTGTTTATGTTAATGAGCTTTGTTGGTAACGCCCTCCAAAAATCTGTTGACATTAACTCCGCCCTCCAAAGCCAGTTTTACGTTAGCATGGCTAATAATAGCAGAAGCTCTGTTGTACAACCATATGAGACCCAGAGGCAGAGTCAGTCGCAGCTTCTTTTTTTTCCTCTCCCTCCTCTGCTCTGTGCTCACTCTGCATGCTGTTACCAGAGCAGGGAGCAGCAGCGGTCAAAATACCTCAGAAACTCGAACAATAGGCTTTAACAAGGTTTTAATAAGCTAAACAATAGAGGTACATGAGAAACCGTGTTCACAACGAATGAAAATAAATAATTAAATTGTGTCAGTGCCGGTCTCTAGTCCAACACTACCCATTGTCCTATTGGAGGCTTGTTGTGAAAKGAGCTGCACATTGCACAACAACCGTGACAGCTTTTTATACTGAGGAGGWGGAGTTTCACCCRGGGTTTGCTAGGTAAGGGGCTGAACGCAGGTTCCGGTGGGTTGTCGTACGGCTTGTGACATCACAAAATGACAGAAGTATAAATGTTGTTGTTAATATACATTAAAAATACATTTACTTACAGTAAATATGCCCCTGGGTGCATTTTTTGGTCCTAGGACTGTTTTTTTAAGAAGTACATACCCAAAGTTGAGTAAAAAAAACCTTTAAAAAGTGAATTTTGCATAATAGGTCCCCTTTAAGGCAGGCATCACTTAGGTCYTAGTTTCAGACGACTCATTAGTTTGTCAAACTTGTGGTTTTTCAAGATATTATTAGTTACCTTACCACTGAAATCTATTTTAAAAGATCAAAACTAAATGATCCGTTTGACTTACTGATATGTGGGCCTGTTTTTCAGTTCAAAGAGACCTCAGTGGTGCAGAGGATTTGACTGTAACATCTGAGTATGGAGGTAATGTTTTCTTCAGCATCAAACTAAATTGTGACCCTCTATTGAAATGTTTGTTTTTGTGTGTAATTACTGGTCCACATGCGTGTTTTTCAGGCCCGTCTAGTGACAGCGACCTGACCTCCCTGGCAGTGGATACAGACTCTCTGGCTGAGTTGGATGATGGCATGGCCTCAGGTCGCACCTCCCCAAACCAGCCACAAGGGGGAGCCACCAACATTAGCAGCAGCTGCAGCCCTCGCTTGTCGTCCCTGCGTGAATACCGCACCTCGTCTGGTTCCTCAGCCCCCAACCCGGAGGTCAGCCGGTCGGGTCGAACGTCGCTGCTCTCCAGCAGTCTGAGGAGAGCCAGCGGTGGCGGCTCAAAGGACGTAAAGTCGGACTACTTAGACGAAGCCAGCGAGCTCATCGGGTTTGCAGTGCAAAAAGAGAGCGAGCAGGACTTCCAGGCAGCTTTTTCATACTATCGCAGCGGGGTTGACTTGCTGCTGCAAGGAGTACAAGGTTAGCGTTGGAACCGTTGCTCATGGGCTGCAGATTTCATCTTGAGAGCTACCTGCAAAAGTTTTAAGCCACTATAGTTCAATTAAATTTTCCACCCTTTAAGCTTCTGACTCACAAAATAACACCAGCAGGGACTCTATAATACATTTACTATTATGACTAAAGTGACAGCATAAGGAGCCCAAATAAATACCAATTATAAAATTGTATGCATTACTAACTACTGTTTTTATAAATTTTTGACAATAATAGTAAAATTATACCTCTAGCAATCGGTTGTTAATTTTGATTTCTCAAAAGCACCTCAAGCTTTGTGGTTTTACAACCCACAGTGGGGTCCTAACCCGAACTTTGCGACCCATTGTTTTATAGGATCCATACTTGAAAATCTGTGTATTTGTGATAAAAGGAAAAACTTTACTTCCTAGTTGGACCAAACTATTGTTTAAAATACTCCACAACACATACGTAACCCTGATTTTGAAAGTAATGCCTTATAACATCTTCTACTCAAAAACACAATGATTTAAGAATAGGAGTGTAAAATTGATCTTATTGTCTGTGTTAATTCATAAATGTATCAGTTTTGCTTTTGATTGTCTGCATAATAATATTTTCATAACACTTCAAAGTACAGAAGATTCTCACTCGTCCCTTTTTCAGGTGAACCAAGCGCAGCTCGGCGAGAAGCAGTGAAGAGGAAGACAGCCGAGTATCTGATGCGAGCTGAACAAATCTCCAGTCAGCATCTGAGAAGCATCATGGGTCAAGGATCGACTCAAACTGTGGTGAGTGCAGAGAAATGCTGCTGTCTGGTATTCTCCGTGTTTCATTCACTGTTTGGTTGTCAAACACATTCAATTTGTTACGTTATGTTATTTTTTTTTCCCTCAAGGCCTTGGGGGCTCAGTGCTGCTCGTCTATGAGCAGAGGAGGACAGCAGAGCTCATTTGATGAGCTGATGGCTTACAGAGTGATAGGGGTCATAGATAAGGTAAATATGTTATTTTAAATTGCATCCTGCAACCAGTTGTTTGTATCCTAATCGAGCATTCACACTACTGAGATCAGTTTTTCTTCCATAAGTAGTCGGCACGTATCATTCCACAAATTTTGCGCTACTTGTACAATTCTTATATCAAAATGTTCAGCTCCTTCAGAACATTCCTGCTATGACATTTTGTACTTCAGAAAGTATAATCTTTTACATATTAAAGTGCCTGTGATGTCAGATTTTTGTAATACATAAGAATGCATTTTTAGAAAGAAGACATTGATAAAATATTGCAAAAGAAATGTCATGTCACTGAGATGAACAATTATTGAGATATTTGCCTGTGAAGTAACAGGAAGTGATGTCAAAGGGGAATGTCTGCATGTGAACAGAGCGTTGCTACAACAGACTGTAGAGAAGAATCTGATGTTTCTTAAGATTATTTTGAGTCACTATCAGAGAGAGATGAAGGGTCAGAGTTCAAATAATATTGTTTCAATAAACAAAGACCAGAGTTTTCTTTGTTAAAGAGTTCCCCTTTGATGTCACTTCCTGTTTCATTTTGGCTGAGCCAAGTTCAAAAGAAAATATAACTGTCATGTGACAAAATGAGTTAAATCGTGTGTATTTTTTTAACTTTCTTAAATATAAAGATGTTTTCTTTGACTTTTTGTATTTGAAGAATAGGTATGTCACAGGGACTTTAATCCTTATCTGCCATGTTTTTCTGTTTTCAGTTCCCATTGAAACCCCTCAAAATGTTTATAAATATTTAGTTTTATTTGTGCCAATTTCAGCTTCCTTTGGTTTCTGTTTAGCTGATTTGAGCTTTTTTCTGCTTTTTTATCGGTCATTCTGACCTTTTCTGCATTTCGGCTGATTTCAACTTTTTGTTCTTGTTTCGGTTGTTTTCTGATAATTTTGAGCTGTTTTCCGTGTTTTGGCTGCCTTTTTTTTTAGCTAATTTTTGCTTTTTTCAACTAATTTCACCTTTTTGTGATTACTTCATCTTCTTACTATATTATTCTGCAAATGTGCTCATTCTGTTTCTTTGTGCTTATTTCAGCTACTTTTATACAGTAGCTATTTTTAGCTAGTTTCAGCTTTTTTAGTTATTCAGCAAAAATGTTTCATGACTAAGCATTTAGACTGCGTTTTCGCAGGAAATACAAATTCACATTGTTTACAAAGTCTTTTGTAAACAATATAGAAAGTAAATTAGCCTTTTTAACACAATGTCCTTTAATGTTAGAGTTTCCCCCCAGTGATAGCAGTCAGGTCAAGCTGACCGCCATTTATTTGATTGTAACCCCGACTCCGACCGTGGACCGTATCCATCTTGGAATTTCTCCTCCTTCTGTCCTTTCTCCCTTCTACCACCTCTTTTATCGGAGGCAATAAAGCGTAATAGATTTACTAGATGTATTGCAAGGCCTGAGTGTGTGTATGTTTAACGTCAGTTATGACTACCACAAGGTCAGTTTGGGTTGCCGGTCCTCTCAAACAGCTGCCGGCGAGGCAACTTCACCACTCAGCCATGAAATGACTTGGCACGCGGCTCAGAGAATGACACACAACATTGAATCTATGATACTCATCCTTCACACGCACACACATACACATACAGAAAACACTAAGGAAAATGTTGACTCAATACTGGCGTGTGTTATTCCATGGAGGTGGGTGCAAAATACACAATAATACAAAAACTGCTCAAGCACAGTTTTAAAAAAWTTATTCAGTAAGGGCCCAGTGTTCCTCTTCTATGTCTACTTCCTGCTTTTTARTTTAAACAAGGACAGAGGGGACAGATGGCAAGAGCTCCTCACCCTACTGCTCCCCATGCCCCTTCTCCCCCCCACTCTCCCCCCCTTTCCCTGATGTTTGCTTCTTAATTATATTAGCACCCTGGCTAGCACTGCCACTCTGTTTACTCACAGCTCCATTCATATCCATTTAGTCTGCACCTGTTTGGTCCCAATCAGGGTCGCACACCCACAACACATGCAGCAGGCTAAACACAAACACACACCGGGGTCACACACATATGCTCAAGCGCTCCCCTGAGACGAGTGAGGGGGGACCAGAAGAGCAATGGAGATGTCAAAGAGAGAAAAGGAGGGCTGATGGCGGGAGCAAATGAAGATGTTTTAGGAGAAAAAGAACAAAAAAAGTGCAGGAAAGTGAAATGATAAATGGGAGGAGCTACTTTGTTTTTGTAATTTGTGCAGTTTAGGATGATTTAGTGAGGAAATTGATTGAGTGAGGAMACTTATCAGTGTGCATTGCCAATGCAATGCACACTAGTCTGATTCATTTCCCATCCAAGTCATCTCCACTTTGGCACGCTTCTCCTCCTGCGTACTTTGTCCTAGAGTTGCCATTGTAATTTATATCTGTAAAGCTCCTGTGCCAAATGATGGCTATGCCTTTTGGTGCCTGTACAACTTATAGTTTTTGAAATATTAATGTTTAATAATTTATAATGGGAGTTAATGGCGCCTTGTATTGGTCCAATACTGCCCCCTGCTGTACCTACTCAGTACTGTACCATAGTTTAATAATATTTAAACTCAGTAGTTCAGTGTTTACAATACTAATATGTTAGTATTTTGATGTTTTGCTATAATATTGTCCTAATATTGCTTTATTATTATAATATATTGCAGTTTAGTGTCAACAAATGCATTGGCGATGTGGCCTCTTTCTGCACACATACAAACCAACCCCTGGCAATCCATTCTGCCACAGCTCCAATGGTCTCATGGTTAATGCCATGGGCTTTCATGTGGGAGAGCAGGGTTCAAAACCCAGCTACAGCAACTTTAACAAAAATTCTCTTCAGACTTCATATTGTCACACAATTACCCTCATCACAAACACCTGCTGACTTGACAAGCACAAGCTGGTATAGAAAACACATTTGAAATTGGTCACCCGTTCATTCTGCAAGTGCACTGCTGCAGGTAAAGATATGCAACATGGCAATGCACACTTGTTTTTACATCGTAAAAACCCATGTCTAGTGATGCATTGCACTGCTCTTTGGTGACATTTTTATCAAGGAGCTCCAAAACATAAAGCCTGAGGAAAAATGAGCATTTGTTACATTTGATTGTTTTAAAGGGGGGTATTATCCATTTTCCAGGCACATAGATCAACTCTATACCACAATCATGTAACTGTTACATTCAGTTGTTGTGAAAAGGCTGTATATATCAAATATCACAGCCTATCTAAACACCTTGAAATTGGCCTCTGTCTCTTTAAGAACCTCCTACCGTTTCCGACACTCCCACTTCAGCACGCCTTCACAACAATTCTTTGGGGGAGTGGTGCTCTGGGGTGGGGGGGTGGGAGCTCGGCTGCAGACTGAGCTCCAGGGAGGATCTTTGTGTAAATGGGCGGAGCTTTGTACCAAAAAGTGTTAAAGCAGCTCCGCATGGTTGCCACAGGAGATTCAAGGATTTCTCAAACACGCATGAATGAGTCAAAGCAACACATCATAACACGATATAAAACTTTAAAAAAAAAAAAACCTTAAGTATTTTGAGGATTCCCGTTAGTTTATACTATAACTATTTATAGTAATCTGATAGGAAATTTGGCCTAAGAAATTGTAACCAATTGTAACCAGGCTTATGGAGATATGGAGACCCCCTTTAGTTTTTGTTATCGTTTTGGACAACACAACCAGTTTCTCCAGTATAATTTGGTTACCCACCGTTAACTTGTATGACCCTGTTCTGTCAATGAAAAACACTACTTTGAATACCGTTTAATCTTAAACCACTTACGCTTGCTCATACCTAACAATTAACGGCATTGTTCCACGGCAGGTTCTTCTGGTCATGGACAAGAGAACACAGGAGACGTTCATTCTCAAAGTAAGTGTAATTTGCACGTGTATGTGTGTGTTTTACCCTGCGTCCGTGTCTTTCTGACTGTAGGTGTGAGTTGTGCCAGGAGCCCCTGGGTGTGACCGGTGTAATTGATTCTAATGGGCCTGTCTCTGTCAGCTCCTCTGCTCTCAGGTGTGAGACGTGTGCCAGATGCTAACGCACAGCCCAGGCACAAATGACTACACACAGACATGCATGCGTACCCCATACACTTACACATCCAGTGTTAACTTTGTGGGCGACGCTGATAGATTAGTGTGGCTCTTTAAAAGTTGTCCGCTGAATATAGCTTGATGAATCCAGTGACTTTGGGTTGCCAAGTGGGATAACTGGTGCTTCGTTAATGGACGGTTTCTCCTTTGTCTCACACTCGTCATTAATTGCTCACCTTCTTCCTGCTGTCCAGTCCCTTTGTGGTTTTTCTTGTAAATTTGTTGTTAATTTTCCTCACATCTCTGCATTTCTTTCTTGCCATTTTATTTTTCTCAGGGTCTAAGGAAAACCAGTGACTGTGGGCAGGTTAAGAAGAACATCATGCCTCATTCTGTGCCCCACATGGTGCAGCTGAGAAAGTTCATCATCTCTGAAGACACTGTTTTTCTTCTGCTACAGTATGCTGAAGGTAAGAGGCAGAAACGGAAGGCCCTATTATTTCTGCGATACGGACATCGGAATCACAGAATTTACCAAACAAAAGGGTATCCAGTATAAAACGAGGAATTTCAAGTTTCTGAGGTATTTTGGCCGCTGCTGCTCACTGTACCTGACCTTACCTGGTTAAGTGCACGCAGGTAGCCTCTCTTAACGCAGACCTAAAAAATAGGCTCGCTCAAACACCAATGCTCTCCAAATTAAAAAATGCAAAGCGTAGCTCAAATTTTAGGGCAGAACAATACCCCAGAGTTTTTATAAATCTGGAGAACAACCTTTCTATAAGCTGTGTCAGCACAAGATCAACTTGATGTATAAGGATACATGTGATGGTCACTTGTTGTCAAAAACTCATCATAAACCGGAGATGAAGCAAGCTAGAGCGAGCCCTGATGTCTGCCAACTCTTCAGCATTCAGCTCCAGCAGTAGCTTATCCAAGATTTTATCATTGTGTTTGGGGAATCAAATATTCCTTTAGAAAAAAATGAAAAAGCTTTGTCCATTTTTGATAAATCACTGAAACAAGGAAGGGCTCTGCCAAAACGTAAAAGTTAGCATAGCAATTCAGTCGGCAAGTGTTCACAGTTGTTACTGACATATTTAATAACCAAAGAATTAATTTTGATAAAAAGATAACTTTTTAAAATGAGATTCTTTGTTTTACATAAAGGATGGTTTTTTTCTTTAAAAAGGCAGGGAAGTTCTTTTTGCAAAAGCCTTTAAAGTTATGCTGAATCATAGCAATTTCTTTTATTTGTGAAAGGGAAATAACAGCTACTAAAATTGGAATTCTGTGGATGGTAATTTGTTAAAAAAATTTTTAGTTTCTTTATATTTACACAATTTTTAGGTTAATAAATATGTTTATAATAAAAACGTGGAATTCAGGGGGAAAAATRGAAAAAGTGGAATTTACAGAAATAAAAATGGAATCATATGGCCTTAGCAAGCACAGTTTCCAAGCTGATTCTAGTCAGCAAAAATGTAATATTTTGACCCGTCCTTTTTTTTTCTTTTTACCGTTTCTGATTTAAGTACAGCATGGTGCTAATTCTCTGCTTAGCAATAGTTTCCTCTCAAACCCCCTAAAATCAGGTACTTAGAATGTTCAGTGTGTTCACTGAATCAGGTAAAAATGTCAGATCTTTGGCTATCAGATCAACGGAGTCATGTTAAAACCATTTGACTTGGTCACTAGATTTTGGTGCACCCCTTATAAGAGATACGCATTTGACTCACCTGTTTGAACTTCCACTCTTTTGTTTTCTTAGCTTGTTTTCCTCTCATTCATCTGCTCCCTCTTTTCTCTCCCCTCCCAGCCCCTCTTTGTGCCCTTGTTTCACACAGATGTTTTATTGAGATGGGTGTGTGTCACAGGTCATTATTCTGAATACCAGGTGGTGCCATGCTTCATTAGCTGTACCAACACCTGGGCCTCCTTACATCCTACTTACTCTAGGATGTGTCTGTAGGCCATGTGCGTGGGTGACTGCGTACAGTGAAAGGCAGCCATTTTTTTTACAACCCTGTAACCTGTTCAGTCTGGCGTACTCCATAACCAACTTACATTTATGTAGTGACAAGTTTTGAATTTAATTCAGAGCTGCTGATCTAGTAAAGACACTTAAATGGTATTTCTATATAAAAATATATGTTTGTGATTGAGAAATCCATTCTGTCTCTGTAATAAGCTTGTTTTTACATGGAAGAAGTTGATGGTCTGAATGAGAACAGACAGGCAGACAAAGGGAGGCAATGACCTGAGTGACATTGGACACAACAACATGTGGATGGTTTTACTTTCTAAGCCATCGAGCTGCCCCACTGTCATTATCATCAYTGCGAACTCCCGATTCATTCTCATCACACACAACAGATGCTGGATTCTAATTGCTCACTTTACAGCTGTGTGTGCGTCTGCAGGTTTTTGCGTGTGCGACTGTGGCCAAGTCTTTGAGATGCGACGTTTTCATTTACTGAAAAGTGAGATGCATTTCTGTGAAACCCTGCCAAGTGTTCTCTGGCTATTTWCAGTTACCAGCAGCACAAATTGGGCTTTAGCACAGCCACCCAAATTTACTTCTACTCCACTATAGTTCCAGCTTGTCTTTGTGGCAATATGCTTTACTAATTTACTCAAACTTTCTAAAAGCTGTTATTAACCTGTTAAAAATACTGGTAATCAATATTTTTCTTTTAGTGGATAAACCCGATACCAGCATTTTTACAAATGCTCATACACCCCGATGTTCTGAACCGATACGAATACCACTATCGATACTCGGATACAGGTATTGATACTCCATTGAATGTAATTGTGTTTCCATCAACCTTTATGTGCGTTTTGAATTGTTGCACTAGAAAAGGTTGATGGAAACGGCAAAATTTGGAAACACATTTGTCAAWTAAGTTCTGACGTAGCRAACATTTACKTCACATGACTGATCAGCTGTTCCTGCTGTCAGCATCTTCTCGCATATTCCCCCAATGATAATTTAATTTCTTTCTCYGTCTCTGGACAGCATGTAACCTCAACAATACCAGTTGTGACAAAACAATTACAACTTGCCCGATAGCAGCATATTCCTGAAAACCTTTCTTCATTGTCCCAATGTGTGGTTCCTGCTAGTTTGCAACRTTTACTTCCTGTTTACTGCAGTCATGCGTAACGTCAGTCTCTGACGAAATTATGCTTTGCGTAGCCTCGTTGATTTGCTCCAAACCAATAAACGGAAATCCGCCTAATTCACATTTCTTGTTTTGTTTTTCTTTTTTGCARCATTTTATAAGTTCGCTCAAAATTTGCGTCACATTTGGATGGAAACATGGATTGTGTTACAGTTTATATTTCAAGTGAAAAGTGTGGCGGTTCCATGTTTAAGAAATTTATACAAGTTGAAAGAAAATCTTGCTTTATTCTAAATAAGAAATGTGTTTTAAAAATATTTTTTAAACATTTAAGTTCTAACTAAATAAATGTTCTGTATTGGTACTCAGTTTGAGGGAAAGCATTTTGAACAAGTACAATTACTTGTAAAAAAGCTTGTATTGGGCAATATACTGATACCATTATAGATATCAGAATCGGTATCAGGACACCACCAGTTGTTGCAATTATATACTTTTTTCTTTTTGTTTACTAAGCAAGCTATGACAAACAATGTAACATTTAGACAAGTATAAGTTCTGCTGAAGTAATAAAAAAATATATATACCATATTTATTCAAGTATAATACGTAAAATTAAATCTATAAAATCGCCCATAAAGTTGGGGCGTAGTACTGTACTCGGATAATTATTTTTACTTATGTATTTTAACGGAAATATCGGCTTCATTCACAAAATGCCTGAGTCCGGAAATGAGACCGCATCGTAAAAAGCAGTTGAAACGAGCTTACCTCTGACACTCCTCTGTGCTTCAGAGCGAGATAATAACAGATCCAGGCAGGTGACATGATGTGAAAAAAAGGGGGAAAAAAGCAGTCCTGAACCTTAGTAATGATAATGAACTAATTACATTAGTGTGTGACCGGGCCGCTGCTGGAACAACAAACAACACATGTTCTTCTGTAATGGCTGCCGTCTACCGGTGTTCTGAAAAAGTTTGTATCCCTGAAAAAACATTTCCCCACCAGAGGGTGCGCCCGTGAGTAGGAAGTAATCTGCTTTTCCCCCAGAAGATGACCCAAATCTCATGTGAAGTCTGACTTTTGTGTTGGCACCTCCTGGTGGACTATGTGTAAAATGCCAGAATTTATATGATGCTGCTACAGCTGATATATATTTGTTGTCAAAATACCTTTAAGTACATATGTTGTTAAAATAAAATGAACAGTCCAATGATCATTTTACTGATATGTATAAAGACTGCAAAGGCTGAAAAATCTTAAAGTCTGTATGAAATTGGAGGTAGTTTGAGGATTAAATTTTTTATGCTTTTTAAGCTCAAAAAAGGGGGTCGTCATATCATATGAGATCGTATTATACACGAATAAATACGGTACATTTAGTTGATGATGGCTAATTTTCTTTAAATGTTTATTCCCACACTCCACCCCCTGTTAACAATAAGTGTTAATTAGGTGTCAACGATAGCCATGTGATGTGAGTATCAGTCACACGGAGGCAGGGCTTAAAAGCCTGAATTTTGCCTGAAACTCTCAGACTGAAGAAGTCTCTTGGAGAAGTGACAAAACGTTTCATTAGAGAAGAACCCGTCCAGAAGACCTATACAATTTTTTTCTTTTTGAATTTTTACCTGGATTACTGAGATGCATCAGGACATTCCCACATTCCTCTCTTTATATCCATTTTTGTTGTATCGTGCTCTTGTTTTTTGTTGTTAATGCTTTGCTTCTTTTGTCTTCAGGTGGGAAGCTGTGGTCTCACATCGGAAAGTACCTCCATAATTCCAGCCCGGAGGAGAGCTTTGACATTCCTTTCATCCAGAAGAGTCACACTGCAGCTGTACATTCTCCACAGCATACAATACCACATTTAGATGTAGGTTCTACCAGTTGTGATTCAGATCCTAATCCTGGTTCAGAGTCTGTATTAGACCTACAGAAAGACGACGAAGAAAACCCCTTTGTGTCGTCTTTTAAAAGTGCCCTCCCTCCAGGKTTCATTGAACAAATTGAGGCTCAATCAGACTCTGGAGCTACCTCTGAAGAGGAGTGCACCAACAGTTATTTGACTCTTTGCAACGAGTATGAGCAAGAAAAAGTAGAACCAGATGCACTAGAAGAGGAAGAGGAGAGGAGCGAACAGGAAATGTCCTCTTTGGAGGTGCCTAACACAACAGCGACCATGTCTTCACGGAGCCGCTCACTCATTAGCAATGACAGCCTTTCTTCACCAATAAGCTCTCAGGAACTTGGATTCTTCCCAGAATTGCCTGACAAAAGTGGGCACACTCATGACATGGACCATTGTAGTGATAAAGAAGACCACAGTGAAGTCTTTAGTCCTGCACGTTCCCCTGTCGGCCTTCTCTCATTAGATGAGTCCAAACACACACCGATGGAGTTTTTCCGTATTGACAGTAAAGACAGTGCGAGCGAGGTGGCCTGCTCTGACACAGGGGAGCACCGACCTTCTCATAAGCAAGTGCTCACGTTTTCTGCATTCAATTTGAACTCTGATGTCATGGAGGATCTTCCTGAGCTGGCTCAGGAGGTAAAGGGCCCAAGCTTGGGGTTTTGGGGATTGGACTGTAGCGATAAAGGCTCCAATGAGTCAGTGCCGGTGATCTCATTTGAAGAGGCAGCGGCTGAGGATGAGGGTCATCCACCAGACTTGTTGGTCAATCTCCCCGTAGTAAGCGGGACTGTAGATCCTTCTTCACAGGAGGAAATGAAACCTTCTGGAGTGTGCCTGGGCCTTGAAGTTGCAGACTCTTCTCAGAAGTGTATCCAGCCAGATGTTTTACAGCTTCATAACCAACCTGAGGAACTGGAGGCGCAGCCATCGGAGCAAGAGCTTTTTTCTTTCTGTACAGCCTCTGAAACGTGTGACACTAGTGCTGCAACCTCTTCTCCTTTCAATTCGCTCTGGGAAGACAGCTTGGCAAGTGGACAGGAGGCGTCTTCCAAAGTTTTTGAGCACCCACAAAACCAAAACGGTGATCTTCCCCATGACACGGATATTTTGAATCCTGATTCCGACCGTGAGAAACCCAAGCCTTGCGCAGGGATGAACACAGACTTGGTTCCAGACCTCAGTGACAACAACTCTGTGAATGGGGCTCAGACGAGTGCTGTTGAGAATTTATTAGGTCTCAGTGGTGAATCAGCAGGAGATGATGGTAATACAGGTGGCAGCGACTTTGATAAAAAGGTGTCGCGGCTGTTTGCAGAGCTGGACGAGCTGACGCTGGCTGCCTCCCAGGCTCGTATCCCAGAGGAATTTGTGCAATGCTGGGCGGTAGAGATGGTGACAGCTTTGGATTGTCTCCACCAAGAGGGCATCATCTGCCGCGACCTGAATCCTAACAACATCCTGCTTGACCACCAAGGTTAGACTTATTAATAAGTTCTGCCTATTAAAGGAGACATATCATGCAAAATCCACATTTTTAGCCCTTAACTGCATTTTGTTGTGTATTTAGGAGTCTCTAGGAGTGCAAGTTAATTTACGGAAGTCTCTCCCGGTGCTGCGTAGATATCTTTTTATTCTGTTTGGGTCATATTTTTCAGTCTATTAATTTTCTTCTATTCCCTAAGATGTATTTTGAACCATAACATCACAGCATTTGCTGCATAACTGCTAAACAAGGTCATGGACTTCCCGCTAACCAATTACACAAATTTGCAGTTCTGCAGGTTTGTTGTCTTCATTCTCCGCTGGCTCTGGGTCAGATTCTGGCTTCAACAACGTATAAGTCTTCCGATGTCAACACCTTTTAATCCATTTGTAAATAAAATGTTTCTGCACCGCTAAATAATTGTATCTCAGCTATCAAATGACAAAAATGGTCATTTGCATTTAAAGAGACAGCACCAAAAGGAGTTGCTTTCAGATACACCTCAGAACAGGGATGAAAGAGGGGCTTGTGGAGATGCAATAATGAAATATTCAGACCAAAGCATTGTAGTTCCACTTTATATAGACCCCAACTGAATGATTTCAATGTGTAAAAGAAGGATTTAAAAGCATGATATGTCCCCTTAACGCTTTTGCAAGCTGCTTTCTTAAGTAGCTAGATTTTTTGTTTGTTTTTTGTTTATTTTTATACGACACTATATGCAATATGTATGTTATGTTTTAAGAGTAAAACCCTATAAATTGAACAGCTACGTATGATGTAATGCTGGTGAAGTACTAAAAGTACAAGGAACTAAAGTTACCAGCTGTTTGTCTTTTCTTTAAAGGGATCCATGATTAGCTGTAACATAAGACTTTATTTGATAAACATWTATTTTAACTGTAAAATAAAGACTGTAAAAATACTGTAGGCTGTKTAGTTTTGTAAATTAAAAAATATATATTTTAACACGGACGGAGCCATTTTATTTACAGGCAAAGCATTCTGGGTAAATGATGACGTGGATAGCTCCTTGGTGTGAGGCTGCTAGCGAGCTATATCCACCCTGAAGGTTAATTTTGGACAATATCTGATGATYGACTCTTTTAAATGAAACCAGAGAGCGTTGACAGAGAGGAGAAATGACTCAACCTGTAACTGAAAATATAGATGGAGGACAACAGAGCTGCTTCATGGAAGAACCTCAGCTTAGCCTGTTAGCTTTAGCGCCAACGCTATATTGATTATATTCATTAGCTCGGCGCTAGTGCGACAAACAACCTAAACTGAGGTCCTCTATCCATATTKTCAGTTACAGACTGAGTCRTTTTTGTGTTCCCCTCTCTGTCCTGTGGATGGAGGACCTCAGTGACGAGAGGAGAATGTGTAGCACTGAGCTAATCCATATATATGGTGATAGCATCGGGGCTAACGCTAAAGCTAACAGGCTAAGCTGAGGTTCGTCTTCCATGAAGCAGCTCTGTTGTCCTCCATCCATATTTTCAGTTACAGTCTGAGTCATTTCTACCTTCTCCTCTCTGTCAACGCTCTCTGGTTTCATTTAAAAGAGTCGATCATCAGATATTGTCCAAGATTAACCTTCAGGGTGGATATAGCTCGCTAGCAGCCTCGCACCGATGACCTATCCACGTCATCATTTACCCAGAATGCTTTGTGTGTAAATAAAATGGCCCCATCCGTGTAATATAGTTTTAAATTTTAGTTTAAAAATGATAAAAACTAAACAGCATACAGTATTTTTACAGTCTTTATTTTACAGTTAAAAGATACGTTTATTAAACAAAGTCTAATTTACAACTAATCGGGGATCCCTTTAAAAAAGGCTATATACTGTAAATCCATGAAAGATTTTCTCTCTTGGCAGTTATAAAAATGTAAAGTTACAGAAAGCTGTGATGAAAAACTGTTTTTCTTATTTCACTGAGCTGTTTCACTTCTGTGAGGCAATTTARAAAAYGAATATCACATCATACACAGGTAATATGTATATATATGTGTATATATATATATATTTTTTTTTAAAGCTTAACTTTGTTCACATGAAATGAAGTTACTCATCTGACAGTTTTTGAGGTAGGGATCAGCCTTGATCAGTCATTCCCAAATTTGTTTACCAGAACAGAGGCTYCTCTGGAAGGAAAATTGTTCTCTTCCCATGATGTCAGATTGCCCCTCAACAACTTCTTTTGTCATCCTGCAATCATCTCCCTCCACCTCATTATCAACAAGCGTCTAATTAGCTGAGTGGCTGTTTTTGTCTCCCTGGTGGTAATTATTGTTCTAAAGGGCCCATCAGCGGCCTAGTGTGGTGCATCAGTCTGGCTAGCCGAGGCTAATGGCTACGGCTACCTAATGACACCATTAGTTCTAATGATAGCGTTAACGGGTAGCCGCTAAACAGGAGTAATCGCCGAGGCTGTTTGCTTGAAAAGCTCGCAGAGGGATGTAGAGAGGCGGAAGGGAAAGGAGGAAGGAAGTGTTCCAAAGGTGGGTAAACAGTTGGGAAAGTTTAATGAGAGTGACTTCAGACTGAGTGAGTTTTTAGAGGTAGTTTCATAAATCTGTTTTATCTTCTATCTCTTTTCAGGTCATGTTCAGCTGACGTACTTCTGCAGCTGGTACGATGTGGAGGAGTCCTGCAACAAAGATGCTATTGCCAATATGTACTGTGCACCAGGTGAGACTCACAGACATTTAAACATTTACCTTTTTTTTATATGTTTTCTTTCTTTTAGAGGCTTGTTTTCAGTGGGCATCTTGTAAGAGTTCATATAAATTTGGCTCCATTGAGGACCACGTTAGATTTTGAATAAATAAGTTACCGCTTTCCATCATTTTAGTTCTTTAAGACATTAGAGATKAGAAATGTTGTTTTAAAAAGGCACAATTAATGACTTGAACCTTTTATTTAAGGTGTCGAACATAAACTTCATGGAAACATGATTAATTCCTACAATTAACCCTCACCTGTGCCTGAAATGTATCTAGGTCTACACCTGGTTGAAATGAATGGAAGTACATATTAAAGAGCTTTTCCAATAGGGGTTTTAATTAAGGGTGGAAATCTTTTACTATCTCACTATTCGAGTCTGATTTTTGGGGTGTGTTGGTGACTGACTCTGCTCCATTTCCTTTAACTCCTTTAATGTGAGTTTGCACATTTGTCATGTTCCCGATAGGGTTGGGCAAAATCATATTGTGTGCAATTAATCGGCAGATAAACTTTAATCATTTTTTGGCACTTGAGGATTAATACGATTAATGCCGCCATGCAGACTGGAGATTTCCCCGCTCAGTCGCTTGATGCTCCTCTCTGCTTCAAATATGATGAACATTTTTTTTTAAAAGTCCGGTTTACTTGGTCTAGCAACACAATTTAAAAATTGATGTATAGCCTAAGTCTGTATTTTTGTCACAATTTGGAACAGACTTTTATGGAGACCAAATAGATTGATTTAAATTGGTCATGTGACTCGAACATGCAGGCGTCCAGGGACTCCAAGGGATTAATCGACTAAATACCACAATTAATCGTGATTGATTTTTTTTTTTTGCCAGTATTGCCCAACCCTAGTTCCTGAATTGTTTAACCTTCATTTTGCAAACCTCGCACACTGGGAAGCTCATGTCAAGCTCAATCTTATCGGGCATTCAGTAAAAAAAAAAAAAAAAACAATATGAGCCTAAATCTTTGCCTTTAATGAAGATGAGGCCAGTTGAATCTCTCTCTTTTCTCAGATTTTGTAGCTTCCTCTTTGTTTTGGCGCTTTCTGCGCATGCGTTTGTTCCAGAACCGGCTGCGTGGCGGCGTCAGGATGTCCCACATAGTTACAAGACAGAGGCCAACAGCCAGTGGAGTTGTTTTATTTTATTTATTTTTAATGATTTTGTAACATTTTATATTGATTCTGAATCATAAATAAGAATCGTGATTCTTACGTTAATCAATGTTTTGGCCCACCCCTAATTTTAATATCCCTAAACTTAAAATCTTTTGTGTCTTTGGTCCACATTTGGCCCATAATGATTGATAATGATGGTAGAAGCTAAGAGACTAACAAGTATAAGCTGCTCTTACGTTGTATTAATATACTTGCTCTACCAATAGTGTCATTTAAATAGAATTGTCCTTTATTACAAACGCAAGGATTACTGTTAAGAGTTTAGATTAAACAGCCCTGAAATTTGGGCTGAGTTGGGCCAAATTTACATGCTTTGAGGGTCGGGCCGGGTTTCTGTGGCACATTTTTAATAAGCCTACAAAACAAAGAGTACAGAGAAAACTAAAGGAGAATGCAGAATCTAAAGCTGTGTTAATTTACTTATCATAGTCTAAATAAAGGGAGTAGGTAGTTTACCCTGTTGAGGAAAGAAAGAAATAAAGGTGCAAAAGTTGAGGGTAGCACATGTGACCACGCTCTTCTCGGCTCCTGTCTGATTTGCTTCAAAAACTCAARTGGTGGTCTAAAAACGAAAACGCTAACAGCTTACTGTATTTATGTGTGTATAAGACATGTGTCCTCCCGCAAGGGCTGACAAATATACTGGTCTGAATGAAATCAGGCGCTTAGGCTCAGTCGGGTTTACTCCGGGTTCAGGATAAAGTTAATTAGTTTGGTTTGAGCTGGCTTGGAAATAATGTCTTCGGGCCGGGGCCAGGTCGGGTCCAATTTTTTTAAATTTTATTTTAGGCCCAATCAACACTTCTGTTGTTCCTCTGTAACTTTGGATAAAAGCATCTGCTTAATGAAAGATTGCAATTTAATTAATAGGCTGTAATAAACCATTATAATTGAAACAAAGAAAATGTAGTATTTTCTAAAWGCCCCAACACTTCAAATTGTACCATAGTTTTGACACTCTGGAAGGTATTGCAGTTGTGATTTTGTCCTGTAGAGGGCGGTGTTATGCTACATTCAGCAGCAGTCCTGCTCCCAGCTGACTTGTGGCAGCTCTGGCATGTTTAAAAGCTGCCTAAAACAAACAGCTGCTAGACTGCAGCTTCAGTTCCCTRTTTAGCACTTCTCTGTGTGTGTATTATTTTTTCCCTTATGCTCAGAGCATATGTCTACAAACTGAACGTATAATCTCATTCTTTCACATACACAGAACTGATTATTGCCAATTCACTAAGAGTTGTGCACAACGACCCTCACACTCCTCCCCTCTTCTTTTTACCCTGAGATATCCTTAATTTGTTCTTTTATTTCCTCTTTAAATCCTCCTTGYGTTGGCAAATTACAGCATCTCATCAGTGTAAAAAATGCTCAATCTAATATCTGCAACAGCTTAAGAGATTTCTTTTTAGACATTATGAATGTTGAGGCATACATTTTAATAGACAGCAGCAGGTGATCTAAAAAGAAATTTCAGACTTTCAGTTCCATGAGTTTAAAATCTAAGTTCTCAATGTTTTTTTTTCTATTTGAATTTTTGTGTAACAAATGGTGTTTAAATCATAAACGGTTTGTTGTTACCTTCCACAGATCATGAATCGAAAGTATTTTAATGTAATTAAGAGAGAGAATTCCCCACCCTGAGTTGAACAAGAACAAAACTGATCTCAGACCAGGTGTGAAATATCCTAATAATTAAATAACACTTGATCCTGTGTGGATGAATGGTTGTAATACACAGTACTTTCCAGTAGGAGGTGTTTTGCACTGCTCTGAAGTAAAGAACCGCTTAACCGAGCGTTTAGTTCAACTTTCTTTCCCTTGATTCCCGATCTGCTCACTTTTATATAAAATCACCTACAACTTCACAGCGACATATTTTTATTCATCACTTTGCTTTTATTTATTTATTTATTTTATTTTCCTGCAGTCACATTCTTGAAAATGTCATTAGATGTAAGTACATGGACACACACATGTTAATGCATAGGTTTGAGTGTGTGTCTCCACTGCCCTTGTTATGCATTGCTGTTTATCCAGACAGGGTCAGCTCTAGCAATGACTTCAAACCTGATGACAGATTTATGACTGTTTGCCAGAAACCTAGCAGGGAGCCTGCTGTGACTGAATGCGCCAGTGTGTGTGTGTGTGTGTTAAAAGGAGGACAGCATGTTTTTAAATCGCACATATTCACACCCAAAAAAAAACCCGGGTGTGTACTTGGAAAATATGGTGACATGGTATTAATCTGTTTATCCTGCACTTGTGCTTATTTATTTTCTCACTGTCTTGTCATTACTGATAAACATCAGATGGATAATGTTTTGTTCACTGATAAGGGGGAGTAAAAAAAAGGGAAAAAAGAAAGGCTGTTTTCTGTGGCACGACCTACTTTGCGCAGAAATGGGAAATGTTTATTGTTCTCTTTAAAAAAGGAAGCAAATTTAATAGCGATTGTCTTGATCGTCCAAGAAAAGGGAAATTTGTTTTTCTTCCTCTCTGAGGTAACAAGGCAGTTACTGAGGACTCCGTCGTCTTTGTTTTGTGATACTTTTACCTGGTCAGCCGTGCATGATCTAAAGGAAGATAAGACTGAGTTCCTCTTTTGACACAGAGCTGTCATTTCATTGTTTTTAAAGGCCTTTCAAGGAAGATATAACATGACAGCACTTCTGCTTTATTATACRACTAAAACACTCTCACCACGCAATTAAGACACATATCAGCTTTGTTCCAGAGTTCTGAATTTATAATTTATTTGGTTGTAACAGCTATCTCGTCTGCTCGCGAAGAAGTGGCAGTCTTTTCAGGGTGTTTTAAAAAAAAGCACATTTAGGGAGATGCATAAGTTTATGTTTTCCTAGAGTTGTCACACTGTAGCTGAACAGAACTAATCAGTGACAGAGTCTGACATACTTTTATTTTATTTATTGTTTTGGTAGTTGAAAATCACAAAATTTAAAATAATTTGCAGCCAAAAGAGGAAAAAGTCAAAGCAGACATTGAGTCTTAATTAAAATTAAAGAGAACCTCGACTATTTCGTAAACATTTACTTCAACTTTAAAAGCAAGACAGTAAAAATACTGTAGGTTATTTTTTATAAATATAAAAATTATATTGTCACAAGCCATGTTTTGTTCAGCCACAACGCAAACCGGGTAAATGATGACGTTCACTGTGTTTCTTAAAAAAATGTTCATGCTGCTAGGCTTCAAGCCCTTATCCACCCTGAAGGTTAACTTTGGACAATATCTGACATTCATCACTTTGAAATGAAACTAGAGCCCGTTAACAGAGAGAAAAATGTATAAATGACTTGGCTTGAAAATGGTGGAGGACAGCAGAGCTGCTAAATGGAAGGAAAACCTCAGCTTAGCCTGTTAGCTTTCATGTTAGCTCCCGAGTGTGTGACAATAAAGCGTTAGCTCCTGAGCTAATAGTGTTAGGTTGGATCTAACTACGGTACATTGTCAGTTCTGACCTAATTAGCTATTGACTATTAGCTCAGCAGCTAATGCTATATAACCATATATATGTGTGTGTTGGTTCATATATAGCTACTACAGATATTGTATGTGTATTAGCTTGGGTGCTAATGTGAATGCTAAAAGGCTAAGCTGAGGTTTTCTTTCCATTTAGCAGCTCTGTTGTCCTCAATCATCACCGGAGGGGGAAATAAAAAAACCTTGCACCAGAGGACCCAGTAAACCTCATCATTTACCTGGTATGCTTTGCGTTGTAAATAATATGGTGCCGTCCGTGTGACTATATATATAT